CAACACGACATTGGAGTCTATGAAGATCCACCTTGTATTTTATGTCTCTCTTTTGGAACTGTATAAGATATAGAATATCTTGGGAAGAAGACAAATGCCACCTCTTCCTATAGAAGTAGATAATAATTAAGAATTTGAGGTGGAAGAAGTCTTAGACTCAAGGTGGCGCTGAAATAGGTCGGAATATCTTGATCATTGGCATGGATATGATAGTAGTGAATGCACACGGGAGCCATCAAAGAATCTTGTAAATGCAACAAAGAAAGTTGAAGTCTTTCATCAATGACATCCATCAAAACTAAGATGAAAAATAGCAAACCTTTGCTATAAAAGAAACAAGATCAAAGAAAAATAATATTCTACCTTCTATCTTTTATTATAGCTTCTGTGTATTTGTGATGACATGGAGCTCCAACAACCAGCAGATTCAAGTCAAGAGATTTCATTTGCGGACTTACCAGATAAGACACTGCAATTGTCACAACCTTCAAGACGACAGAATTGAGATGAAGATCCTCAAGAATAACATATTTTTCTTCAAATAGATGGCGAGATACAACGTGTTTGGTATCACGACCTTGGAAGAGACTCCCGATGTTTAGATATTTTATATGAGATAGGAATAAGTCTTAACAATGTTCCAAATATTTTATTTGAAGGAAGTTATGAAGGCCTCAAGAATGATTAAATAATAGGGTGGTCTCTCGCTTTGGTATGGAATACTATAAATGGTTGAAAAGACCTATCAACCATCTTCAAAGAGAGCAAATATCAGAGTATGTAGCAAATACAATTTGCTGCATCTTAGACTTCGTCAATATATAAAGACCACTCCTCGTGGAACTCGTCGCTAGAATGGAGGATAATATCACAGATATATACATTTATCTCAATAGTTACTTATATGATTAAGTAGAAGTAGATAAATATAGAATAATTTCATAAAGTCTTCTAGAAAAGCTTCCTAGAAGCTTCATAGATGTAGTTTGGACTTTAGATGTATTTGTAGGTTGGAAACTTGGCCAAAATACTAATCATGTATTAGTACCTTGTAGAACAAGTTATCTCTATATAGTAGCTTGTAGAACAAGTCAACTACGTGGCACATACATAGATAACTTGCCTTACAAGATAAGACATGTAGCTAGCAAAGTCAACACATGTTGGAGGTCCTATAAGACATCGCCACATAGCTCTCAGTTAGATAGTATATATGGAGGTAAGAGTGAAGCCTTCTTCACTCTTGTCAACACCTTTCTAGTCTTAGTCTTGTTTTAAGTCTTTCTAGTCTTTTTATTTTTGGCAATAGCCATTCTTGTTAATATTACATCACCTTTTGAGTGACTTTCTAGTTTTCTTCAGTGATAGAAGAGTGCATTGAGGATTCTCTTTCTTTGAGATTTATGTCCTTGACAATGTCTAAGGTGAAATATAATGCTATAACATCAATTCTAAAAGATATTCTAATATTTATATCAAATGTATGGCTTTTGGTGGAGGTCTAAGTTTTTGTGATGTCAAATCAAAGCTTATTGAAAATCTATAGTTCTAAATTTTTATTAATTTCCAGGTTTATAAACTATTATAAATACACATCAATACTTATTTTTAATAATGACTTTATTTATTAGTACATTCTAGTGCTAACTAAAGTTTTTTAGCACAATATCTATATTAATAGATATTTAAAAAATATTTATACAAATATATAAAATTTCTTATAATAAGCACATTTTTATTTTAATATATTTTTCTTATTTTTAATTAATTTTAAACTTAAAAAATAATAATATAAGACAATACTTTTGTATCTTTTTTTATCTATTTAATTAAAATTAATTTTGATACAACTACTATGTGAAGATTCAAAATACTATAAAATTTATGCAAATACACAAGTAATTAAATAGTCTATTGTATCATCATATATTCTATATTATTACCTAAGATATCATAAAAATTAATTTTTTCAACCAAATAAATAAATATAATTCAACAAGATAATACACATAGTATTTTATAAAATAAAATAATTTATTGATCTTACAGTTGAACAAAATAAAGTATCAACTAATCTTAAGTGCAATTAAAGAAGTAAAAAATAGTAAAAAGATGAAAGTAAAATAAAGTGTATTTAATAGAAATAAACAAATAATAACACACAAATAGATAAGAAACTTAAAAAGATGATTTGTATAGACAAGAGAATATTGTCCATCTCTTATAAGCCTTATTTGAAGAGACTCACTTAGTGCCTTGTTACAACTTAAATAGCTAAAAAATAGTTGTTTTTGGATTTGCAAAAGATATTAAAGATTTCTTCTAATAATCAAATAATATTGCTATGCTCTATATAATTATATAATTAATTGTGATATAAGAATGACAACTAGAAAATATTTATTTTTATAATATATATATCTATTAAAAAATTATTAAATATTTTTATTTATATCAACATATATAAAATTAAAGTATTAATTTTATAAGAATTATATATATATATATATATATATATATATATATATATGTGTGTATGTGTGTGTGTGTATATATATATATATATGTATGTATATATGTATGTATGTATGTATTCTTTTTAAACTACATACAAGAAAAAATACATAGATATGTATATAAAAGAAAATTTATTATTTTTATATAATGGTCATCTATTTGTTCTTTTTATAATTACAAATATTTTTATTAAAAACTTCGAATCTTCTTTTAGAATTTTATTACATTTTTTCATACAAAAAAACTTATATAATAAAATTATAAACTTTATAATTGATATAATAAGTAATAAAAATATATAAGTATATATTTTTAAATTTTTTTGAAGCAATTCTAAATTCTAAATTTAATATGGATAATATTTTTTATAAAAATATCTTTCTTTTGGATTTTCTTAAAAAAATAAACCTCAATTATTTAAATTTTTTTTAAAATGAATTAATTAATAAATACAAGTTTTGAAAAAATTATCAATAAACAAACATTACTATTATTCTTTTTGTACTTTTTCAAATAAACTTATGTCATTTGAATTATTGCAATAGGCTACATATACAGATATATTATATTTACTCTTTAAAATAGTTTTGGTGATTATTTCTATATATTAATATATTATTTTTTGATATTTATACCTACTGCAACCAACTAATTCTATATTAGGATATATAATTAAATATATTTATATATTTATAAATTAAATTATATACTTTTTAGATCTTCATTTTATGAGTAATTTTTTTTAATTTAAAAAACGTATTATGTATGAAATCATAACATATAAATGATTCATAAAATCAACTCCATCTCTAATTGATATTTTTTTTTACATCTTATTTTTTTATTATTTTATATATTTTTAGGTTAAAAATTTTATGGAATGAATAAAAAATCAATATTTTAAAAGAAAATTTACTGTATAAATTTAAAGTTTTAATACATATAAACTTTTGATGTCTATCAGAAAATAAATATAATTTCTTTGTATGTTGTAAATAAAAACACACATAAAGAAAGAAGAAATTTATTATATAAGTTTTACTAATTAAATTTTAACATATATATATATATATATACATATATATATATAATATAATATAATATTATTTTATTTTATTTTATTATGGTTTATTATTCATTAATAAGAATTTTTATTTATATAAGATAGTTTTATGAAAAATCTAATTTAAATTTGTTATTTTTTCATACTATTGACAAATTTTTCTCCATGTCAAGGTCTTTGCAATGGTGCTTGTTTGTTTGTTACAAGGATATTAAAATGTTTAATAATAAGATACTACTGGTGAAAATTAATACCTAAAATTTATTGCAAAATATCATTATTATTAGTGTCACCAGAAATTTCTTTTAAATACCAGTGACACAAATTTCTAATAAAACGTACATGTGCAAATATTCATGATAAACTTCAAGGCCAACTATTATAAACTACAGTATAAAATGTATTAAATGTAGACCAATCCAATAATTGATTTTAATTTTCTCAAATCCTAAAATATATAATTAATTCTTACAATATACATGTATATTCATAATAGTATGTATTGTATTAATATAAATATATAAGATATGGTTGTATAAAGATATAAATTTCATAATTGTATGTAAAGAAATATATATATATATATATATATATATATTGTATGAAGATTTTATATTTAGTATTATGAAAAAACAAATATTTATGCTTACAAAAAATGATATTACAATTGTGTATTAGCTAATAATAAAGATAATAAATAAGATTCATATATGGAATTGATGCACTTTTGTATTTATAGCTTGATAAATCAAAATCAATGCTATTATAATCATAATTTTTTGTATGGATGAGATTTCTTTTGCTTTTTCTTTTAAAAAAAAAAACATTAATCATCCATAATTAATAATTTTATAATATAAAATCAAGTGTATATATTATTTGAAAAAATGAATATGTTGCATTTGTATAAAACAAAATATAGTCCTAAAAAAATTATTATATAATTAATTACTTAATTTTTAAAAACTATGAATAATTCTAAAATATTATTAATAATATCACAATTTTTGCTACTACTACCATAACTTTTATTTTATTTTATTTTATTTTCTTATTAAAATTATATAAAAAATTTATATAATTTTAAAATAATTATTTAAAATATTGACAATTTTTTAATTGGAATTAAAAAAACTAAAAAATGTGTCAAATGAACAGCAAGTTGTGATTGTAAGAGAAAAAATTAAGGTTGCATAGGCAGTACCTAAATTCTATTATTAGTGGTTTTGTAACCAAGAAACCAATTTTAATTTTGTGAAGAAAAGATAAAAAATAAATATTAAAAATTAAACATAGAAATAATGCATTTCTTAACTAATATCCCACTCTTATAATGTTTTTTTTTCTTATTCATATGATAAAAAAAATTAAATACAATCAAGGCATAATTTCAAAAAGAAAAGATATTTTACAACATATAATTGTTAAGGTTGCAACAAATAACTCATTTACCCTCTTTTTTACAAAATTCTCTAAATTCAATCAATCTTTCTTTCAACTAAGTCTTCAACTAAGTCTAATGTAAATCATAGTGCTATATTTAAAAAAAATACAATCCCAATACAATACTTCTTATTTTCTAATCAGAAATATACGTATAAAAAAATCGCAGCATAGATGCTACAAAGAATTTTAAAGGTTTTATTTAAAGACTTTAAAGACCTTTATCTTCTTTTCTTACCCTCTTTTTTCACTCGTTACTACTTTTACTACAAATCAAAGATAAATTAGCTTTGAAATGCTGTAGTCCGTATGCAAAAGTTGGGGGTCTGGAATAGATATTTTTTAAAAAAAGAGTAACAACTTTTCACTAACAAGAACTTCCCTAGTTTTTCACTTCATTTTCACCTTTAAGAAAGATCGGTGCTTACGTCGGATGCACTTAGAGACACATGGGTCTTTTCCATCCTCACAAGTTGCACAAAATGAAGATTCAAACAAAAAGCATGATTTTTGGATTGAGAAATAGGGAGAAGAGGTATTGGTTTCATTCAAACTGCCATAACATGACAGTTAGTTGGTGTTTGAAGTTGAGCCTCCGAGTCTTCTTCGCAGTCATGTTTTCCAGCCACATTTGGTTGCATGTGCGCTTCGGAGTTGAAGCTGATAACAGGAATCTTGAGCTAGAAGCTCATTGTGCTTCAAATCAAATCAAGTGACTTTCTGAAAATAAGAATGAAATACCGTGCGTTTGCCTAAGTTTTAGCACAAAGAACTGCGGACCCAAATGTACATGAACAGATCGTCTATTTCGTTCCCCACAGGCATTAAAAACCGTGAAGAAAAACTGCATGACATTGGAGATCCAAAGAAAACAAAAGCATTCTGGAGATATGATCTACGATAATAGGTTCAGCGACAGCTTACAGAATACCGTAGCACCTGGAAAACTGCATGTAAGTAGAGGGTTTTCCAAATACCTGATCACTTCATCAAAGTACTTGGGTCACAGTAACGTTTCGCATTTCTGACTGATCTATGCATTGTAATATTTGAGACAATAAAGGATACACTTCAATAAATACAATCCTGGAAATGATTGAGACAAAAATAAGTCACTGTTGGATTGACAAGCAAGTTCATGGAAAGATGCTGTTGAAGTACTAGACCTCAGAGGGCACAACCAACACATTCGTTGACGAGATCCTTCGATTCGAGACGCTACTTCAACTCTTCTTAAGATTTGTCTTCGTATTTTGCATCCACGGGCATCACTACCGTAGTACATCCTTCTACTGAATCAAACACACAATTCTCCATTTTGTTAACTGTCCAGAAATTTCACATTCATTTTGATTGCATCTCTGTAATCAAACTAAACGGAATCACAGCATCAATATCTTTGAGAACTTTAAGAAGCAGTTCATTACAAACACCATATTCTGGAGAGGCATTAATCTGTCGTGCCTCTCCTGTTGACGGAAAGGTGAATGACCACGAACATAGCTGCAGCCATTGTAAACTAAGTCATATCGGAAAGACATTTTCACAACATCTACAACAAAATCATGACATGTAATTCACGAAATCATCCTTATAATGATATTAGCGGCGATACGCATGCAGCTGAAAATGAAAGACATCACTTCCACAAGAGTCCTCCCCATGAATTCAGGTGATTGCGTCAAATATGTAAAACATGAAATTTCAGACTGAGATACAGATATCCCAATTTCTCAACACAATACAATGAAGCGAATACCTCGTGCAGAATCTCATCCTCGGTTCTCAATATGTATCTATATATATATATATATATATATATGAGCTCTCTAATAGCTTCCAACTCTTCCTTGTGCTTCTGCTGAGAAGACTGGAAGTGAACATTCATTAAGACTCCCGCTTCCATTACATCAGACCGCTCCCGGAGCAAAGGTTACAACTAGACACAAATACCAGTAGAGTTTCAAACCAAACAAGTTAATCCTACCTCATCTTCTGTAATCCACAAAATCTCCTCAAAAAGACTGCGGTAAAGAGGAGGAGCCAAGTCAAGAGGCGCATAATTCCCAACCGTTCACTTATTAGAAGAGCGACCACATTTGCTTGTTTACCCCAAAAGTCCTCCACTAAAGCAGATTCAGCTTTATGTGCGCTCTTAATTCGCAAACATTTGTAAATCTTCGCCATAAAACTGCATTTCTGCATCCATGCAACCAAATTTCTGTAAGAGAACCCTCTGGTTCTAGATACTCAGTTTCTACACATGAAAAATGTGTTTTAAGAGCTAATGTTTGTCTTTCAACTTTCCAACATGATCACTACAGGTTGTTATTTTTATAAGAACTATACGATACCTCTAAATAGAAAATCTTAGAAAAAGAATAAGAAAAAAGGGCCTAAATCACACATCATTAGGAAAGAAAAAAGACTGAGCTTTCACTGCAAAAGGAAAGAATCAACCTGGACTTATTATAACTCACGGAATCGTTAAGGGAATGCTTCCAGGATCCCAGCCTGATAGCGGCCGATGTTAAGAGCAGTTAGAAGTGCGGTGGGTCTCACATCCTCATAAGCCTTTACGACAGTGCTCACAGTTGTCTGCCAATATTAAATCCGCAAAATCACTGATATCCCACGTTTCCACATCCAGGCAAGTGCGCAGCAATGCCTTAACACCATGAAAATCGTCTGGCTTTGGATCAAAATACTCAAAGTCGACATTCACGATCTCCTGAACAATTTCACGCTCACACTATTGCATCAGTTTAAGTACATCACAAATAATTACCAGTTGACAATCACAGTAAGCTTCAATCAGCGATAGCGCATCTCAATAGAGTACTGTGGAATCTGCTGCTAAACATAATTTTTTAAGTGGCCAGCATCTATTTCATGGTATTCACGCGAGTGAGGTCGTGCATAGTGTCACAAATAAGAAGCCCTTGTTTTGTTTCAAAATGCAGCAGTACAGACCTGAGAAGGTTGGGAGCTATGGTCAGAGTCGCTACTGGTGTTGAGCTTGTCCTCAAAGCTAGTGCTTCTGTCAGAGTCCAGCTCCTCAGAGCCACTCGAAGCTCCATTCCGTCTACAAGCTCGTTTTCCTCCTCAAAAGGAGAATTTGGTGACGTTCCAGCCTTCCGCTCCCCCAAAGCCGCCATCAAAATGCATGAATTATGTGCTCTCTCAATAGTATAAGAATCGGCTAAGCTTCTATTGAGTCGGTATTGTAGAATGTCAAAGAAACAGATGTTGCTTTTGCAGGTGTGGTTTCTTTACGAGAATTCGCTATCCAACGCACGTAACCTTCAACAGGGGAGAGGGAAAAAAATCCCATCAACCTGGGCGTCAGAACTAGGGCCTATACCACGCATCTAGAAGAATTGGACATTGGAAATGTTCGTGTAACAATAAACCCCATAAACACCCATTCAAGTCTTTCATTGAAGTGCCCTGCAACAATCTCTGCATGCCAGGACATTTCAGACAGCTAATTACTGCAACAACTCATTCCATGCCATGCTCATGTCCTAATCACACCCACCACGACCCACCTAAGAAAGCTATTGAATTCATCAAAAACCCTGCATGTCCATCTGCACTCCTCCACAGATAACCTATCCGCTAGGAGCTATTCAACGCAGACGCAAAAAATATGAACAGGGAAATTTTCTTGCACACTTGAACATGTGGTAGAAGAAGTGAGACAGACCTCATAGCATGATGAACACTCAGCCTCTATATGATAACAAATGCACACTCTCGTGTACACGGGTGAGCCTTGGTTTGTTAGAAGTGGGTTCTGTCAACCGATTTAAGGGTTTTAAGAGTACGGTACCAAGGACAAACTTGAGGTGGTAACTGTGGCCTTATTCTTTCTAAGACTGTGTACATCCAAGCTATCTGGACCCCATCTCTCAACCCAATGCAGTCAAGCATCCAAGCATCAAACCCTCATTTATTATCCTTGAATGTGGTCCCCTGAGCATTCGTAGCAATACAAGGGCCGGGTGTTCGTCATGACAAGTCGTGTGTCTCGTTTCCTCTTGCAAGGAATTCTACAGCCCTTGAGAAATTTTAAAACCCCGAGTTCAATGCTGCCTGTAAGAACTTAAACTCAAGCTCTGTCTCACTGTGTCCGTGAGGTACGATAAAGCGGCGTACCTTTACCATGATTTTGTTTCAGGCTTAGGCTTTAAGGCTTGATGGCGATTGCGTAGCATTTGAAACTGTAGTCATTCCACGTGGGGTGCTTGTGTGTTTCCTTTGAGCCGGGAATTTGGCAGGATATGCAAAACTCTTCTGCGGTTCGAATTTTAGCATTCGTGTTTTCGAGTGCGGTTCACAATGATGACAGCAGAATTTTGTCGAGATCAGCAAACTTTGAACAGGGATTCGGGAGACGCTTTCGAGTTTACTACGATAGTTACCCCGATGCTCTTAGTATTACGTGCTGAGATGCTAAAGAGAACAAGAACCATTGTTGATCGGCAGACGTCAGTGGTGACAAAAACTTCAGGCTTCTTCTTCCTCAAACATTCGCAGTGGCCGCCAAAAGCTTCTGCCCTGCCGAGCTTGAGAGCTACTGCAACTTCCGAACCTTCCTTGGATTTCTAAAAGAGAGTAGTCTCCAATATTTCCTCATTTTGGGTCCAGATCGAATTCACGTTTTTACTATTCAGGTGTGCAACCTTGCAGGTGCGATTGAACTTTTGATTCAAACTGATCTACCATTTGTGCTCTTTACTTTGAACAAGGTTCCAACAGTGTCAAACACTACCATAGCTCGGCTTAAGGGTTTGAGTTTCTCTGGACTATCTGAAGACAAACCCTAGTGTAAATATTAAGGGCAATTTGACCATTGTCAATTGTATGCTTGAATGTTGTAAAACAAAGACAAGTGCCAAAGATGCCCAGTGCTACGATAAGGAGGAGCTCTTCTACATGGTCGAACAGAGTTCATTTTATGCAGAAGGAATCTGCCATCACCAGCGGAGTGTAGGCTGTTACCAAGAGTCAAAAACTCATCGAACACGAAACAGTCCAGCCAGTACAGGTGAGGGATAAACAAAACGAACTGTATTCGATGGCAATAACTGCTGTGTATAAGTACATCTACGTTCACAGTGATGAGAACGAACGTTAGGGGTGATGTTCAATATAGGCTGCATGGCAGGCAAGATATGCACCACACATAGCAATGCATGGTGCACAGTCTGACACAGTTTCTTGTCTGAGCAGTAACTGATTTGAATTATTATCTGAACACAGTTCCTAAGCATCTGATATTCCAATGATCGTCTGTGATAGCTCTCTATGGAGTTGCTGTGGAAGCAACCGATTTCTTCCATGCAAGGGCTGCAGCCCATAGACGAATACTTCGTGATTTACTACTGTACAGTGTTCAGTGTTGTACTTCTTGTTGATAATTGAACAGTCAGATGTTAAATGTATGTGAGATACTGAATCATACTTCTGAAAGACTGAAGTTAACCTGTCTGGTGCAATTGAACACAGAAATGAACATAAAGTCAGTCACAAAGTACAAATTTGTATACATGTAGATATATATATATATATATGTAGATATATATATATATATGTATATATATAAATGTATATATATGCGGAGTTTGTAAGTACAAGTTTCGTGTTGTTTTGGAGAATAATAATTGCTACCTCCACCAGAAACATTTATTTTAATTTATTGTACTTTATTATTATTATTATTATTTTGACATGAATATTTTTAAATGTCATCAATATTACAACTTTAAAGATATTAAATGATTTACTTGTTTTAAATGTTTTGGAAGTTTGGTTGATAGTGACTTATTATAATATCTTTTTTCAAATAAATACTTCAAAGGAATAAGTGAATAATTTATTAACATTTATTTGATGCAAAAACTATGATAGAGTGGTCAAATGTGTCATATAAAGGTGTTATAAATTGAATTAGATTTAAGAAGGTCTACAAAACTTTGAAGAAGCAAGAAGTAATCTTCTAAAGGTAAAACAAAGAAGAATATAAAGTCAACTGTCATGGACTTACACATGTAAGCAAGTAAATACATGTATAAATAAGTAGAAGTAAGTAAAAATAGGTAAAAATAAGTTAATTCTGTAATATTTGCTATGGAAGCTTCCTAAAAGCTTCATAGATGCTTTATAATATTAGAGCTTTATCTAATCTTAATTTAGAGTAGATTATCCCTTTCTCTTGATAAGACATAAGCATATTAGAATTTGTGGATTACCCTCTTCTAAATTGATATTGTCCTTAGTATTTTCTTTGTTCTCAAGTCCTCTCTTCTATTTGTCTTGAACGATATTACACATCTTTTTTTTTAAGTATTATCATGGCAGAACTTGTTGAAATGAAGAGTGCAATGGCACAAATGCAAGAGCAATTGAGGGAGTTAATGCTTGCGATGTATCAACTCAATTTACCACCACAAGGAGCAACAAGGTTGGTAGAAAGTGAAGATATAGAAATGATTGGAGCTGCTTCAACATCTGCACTAAATCATGTCCCTTCTACTATGGTGGAATGTCCTTTTAGTGTTAGAGAACCTAGAATTTTTCTACCCAAAAAGTTTGATGGCACCAAATCAAAGTTTAGAAGATTTATCAATCAAGTACAACTTGTGATTGAACTTCAACTCCAAAGCTGTCCAACTCCAAGATCGCAAGTTAGAATCAGTGGTACGCTTTTTTCAGATTCAGAATTATCATAATTTTCATATATTCTTAAATGACGAGATCCAATATTAGATAATCTGGATGCTTTTTTGTTAGAGTTTCTATCCATGTACGGAAAACATGATACAATTCGTGTTGCAATCAACAAGATCCATATTTTGTGATAAGGCAATTGATCAATACGTGGTACGTTGTCGTATGGCGTGATTTACTATCTGGGAATACATTGGGTATCTAGCTGTAGAGAATGTACCTTAAACCTTCATATGATTCTTTTCTTGGCTTCTAAAACTCCTTTATTTTTGTATAAAACTCCAAATATAACAAAATCCCTTCAAAACATATTTTTTCCGCGAAGGGTTTTCTCGCCCCGAACTTTAGAAAATCATAACTATTGATCTAACCGTTCAATTTGTTTCAAATTTACAAGAAGTGGTAGAATTTACCCTTAACTTGTACCACAAAAAAAACCAACCGCAAATTCACTCCCGAACTTCTGGCATCTAAGAAACCCTAGCAGACACTCCAAACCCTAATTTACAAGCACCCGAAAACTATTTTCCTTATATCTCAAAAATCCGAACTCCAAATGTCATAAAACTTATGCACAAAGTTTACTAACATAAAATTATACATTCCTTGAAATTTTGAGCGAAAACCTCACAAAATTGCTCAAGATATAGCTCAAGAGACAAACACTAGTAAATCGGTTTACTTACTACCCTTAGATTGCATGTGCTGACTTCAAAATCCAATAACTCCTTCATCCCAACTTGGAATCCAGTAAGCAGTATGTGAAAAGTATAGCCGCAAAAGTGCTCTCTCCAGTCGCGGTCGCCGATCCTCAATTTCCGTCCGTACGCGTGCGTTATGCCCAAAAGAGTGACAGTAGGTCCAAAACTAACACCTTAACTTTGAGCGCCTATAACTTCTTCATGAAAACCCCAAATGACACAAAATTTGTACCAAAACTTTAACCAAAACCCTAAACCTTCTGACCCTAGCCTTCAAAGTTCGAATGGCCTCGAGAAACTAACCCTAATCCCTAATATGGCCTCGGACAGCCTCCTCAAAGCCCATTGGTCATGATTTTTGACCAATAGGAATGGAGATTTTCATCATTCATCTCCATTCATCTATATTGGTGCCCTAATTACTCCCTTTGCTACCAAAATCTTTCTTCAATCCTTTTTCTTATAAGATTTACATAATGTATGCTCTAAACACCAAATAAAAGAACCAAAATAAGTTTTTAAATGTCACCAATGTCTAACAAAGGTGACTCTAAATATTTAGAAGTTACTATCAACCAAAACCAATCTTAAAAGACACTATCAAAAAGAAATTAAAGTTATACAAATTCTATAATAATCTTTTTAAACAACCTCTTCTCAAAGTAATAATCAAATTATATCCTACAATCAACTAAAATCTACTAACATGGCTCTTACCATGTTACTTAATAAATTATATATTAAGTACATAATTACATTATTTTCATATAGTAGCCGAACCACAATACGACAACGCTTTACAATTTTGACAACTTGCAACTGATATCAAGAGGGATGATGCTGTACTTGTTAGCTAATTTTCCTACAAATTACAATATGAGGTAAAAAAAAATTAATGCTCAACTTACGTGATCTTCAAATATTGAGTCAAGCAATTGACTTTGTTGTGAAGTGCCACAATCATTTTTTTGAATTCTGATTTGAAAACCATACAAGTAGACTTCAACGTTACTATAATTCAATGACAACACCAACATCTTCTCAATACATATATGTCACGGACATACATATAATTACCTATATGAATAGATAAAAGTATGTAAAAGTAGATTAATTGTGTAATATCTTCTAGAGAAGCTTCTTAGAAGCTTCATAGATGCTGCTTTGACTTTATAGGAGTCTATAGTTGACTTTTAGGTTAGAAACTTGGTCAACAAATTAGCCATGTGCCACGCATGTTGGAAGCTTAAAGAACAAGCTAACTACGTGGTCCATCCATAGAAAACTTGCCTTGCAAGCAAAGGCATGTGGCCTAGAAAGTCAACATATATTGGAGGTCTTATAGAACATCGCCACGTGGCTTCTAGTTAGATAGTATATATAGAGGCAAGAGTGAAGCCCTCTTCACTCTTGTCAACTCCTTTCTTGCTTCTAGTCTAGTTTCAAGGGTCTCTAGTTTTCTTGTATTTTGGCAATAGCCATTCCAGTTTCTTTCTTAATATACATATTTCTATTTTGTCCTATTTCTTTTTGAGAAAAGTCTCACTTACTCTTTAGCTTTCATCGAGTTCTTGTCCCTGACAAATTGACAAGAGTACACTTACAATATCAGAGCTTTGTCTTTTCTTGATTAAGAGTGGATTACCCCTTTTTCTTGATAAGACATAAGCGCATTAGAAGTTGCGGATTACCCTCTTTTAAACTGATATTGTTCTTAGTATTTTCTTTGTTATCAATTCCTCTCTTCTATTTGTTTTGAGCGTTGTTAGACATCTTCTCTTTTCTAAGTGCTACTATGGCAGAGCTTGTTGAAATGAAGAGTGCAATGGCACAGATGCAAGAACAATTGAGGGAGTTAATGCTTGCGATGCATCAACTCAATTTACCACCACAAGGAGCAACAAGAATGGTAGGAAGTGAAGATATAGAGATGATTGGGGCTGCTTCAACATCTGCACCAAACCATGTCCCTTCTCCCAGAATGGAACACCCTTCAAGTGTTAGAGAACCGAGAATTGCCTTGCCCGAGAAGTTTGATGGTACCAGATCCAAGTTTCGAGGATTCATCAATCAGGTCCAACTAGTGATTGAACTTCAACCCCAAAGCTATCCAACTCCAGGGTCACAAGTAAGATTCATTGGTACACTTCTTTCAGGTTCAGCATTGTCATGGTTTTCATCTTTTCTTGAACGACGAGATCCAATATTGGATAATCTGGAGGCTTTTTTGGCGGAGTTTCGATCCATGTTTGGAGAACATGATGCAATTCGTGTTGCAACCAACAAGATCCGTATTTTGCGACAAGGCAATCGATCAGTAACATTATATGCTTCGCAATTTCGACAACTTGCAACTGATATCAAGTGGGATGATGCCGCACTTGTGAGTCAATTTCTCTACGGATTACAATATGAGGTAAAGAAATTGATGCTTAATTTACCTGATCCTCAAACATTGAGTCAAGCAATTGACTTTGCTGTGAAGTGCGACAATCGACTTTTTGAATTTCGATCCGAGAGTCGCACAAGTGGGCCTCAACGTTACTACAATTCAATGGCAACACCGACGTCTCCTCAACACATACCTTCGGAAGTAGAGGATATGCAAATTGATGCGGTACGTTTCAAACCTCTTACTGAGCAAGAAAAGTCTCGTCGTCGACAAGAAGGATTGTGCTTATATTGTGGAGAACCTAAGCACACTGCTCAACATTGTCCAAAGAA